ACACGGACCCGGTAATAATGTGACGATTCTTCCACTCACTCATCAACCCTTTAACGCTACCAATACCTTTTGTATTTACCATGCAGAGTGAGGGTCGTTACATTTTCAGGGATGATTCTTAGTATGAAAATCTACAAACAGATTAGTTTTTTGACATTCTGGGTAAATGTCAAGGCAGCCATTTTGGATTTTCCATCCTGAAATCTTGTCTGTAAAGTCTTGTTTACATGTTTTCTGGTTAACTGTGTGACGGATCAATTTAAAATTTTCAGGGGTGGTTCTTAGTATGAAAATCTAGAACTGACTAATTTTTGGGCATTCTGGGTAAATTATAAGGTGGCCATTTTGGATTTTCCGTCCTCAAATTGTGTTGGTAAAGTCTTCATCTACTCATTTTCAGGATAACCATTTGACGGGATCACCCATTGGTGGGGACATTTTGTACACATTTGTGTTCTTGTATTTATCTGTACAGGTAATTTTAATGTAAATTTTGCCATTGCACACAGAGGAAGTATCAAAGAATCCTGATGCCTTTAGAAAATTAAAGTGCCGGCCTTCTTAAAAGAATTCAGGGTTCATGTCATGAAACACCATTCTGGGCATTTGAATTCAAGAAAATAGCAAAAATTGTGTTTTTTTTATTTGTGCCTTAGAAAATCCCAAATCAGTAGAACATTTCAAATTACTGTAGTACTAGTGAAATGCTTCCTTAGAATGTTTCATCATCTGAAATCACTTAGATTTACAAATTTTTGTTCGTTGGGATTTGCTTTTTCATTGAGTGTTTTCATAAAATAAGAGCAAAGTTTAAATTCTATAAGAATAATAGATAGAGAAAAGTTGAAAACATTGTGGCAATCCTTCTCACTTTATCTCTTCTTATTTCTTTTATGGTCTTTATTGTCAATAAATGAATGCCAACATATACATATAAAGCGTTTTTGCCTAAACATTTCCATATTCGAATGAGGATACAGCATATGAAGGTTATGAGGGTACAGCATCATACTGTAGTGTCAGATGTACAATATACATAGAAAGAAGCATGTCTTGGTTATTTCTTATCACTAATCCAGTTGAAACATCATACTGACGTATCAGATATTCAAGATATTTTCTATCATTTTCTATTCTTTGATAATTATTACAATCTGAACTAATTTAAACATACACCCTGTACAATACTAGAATCTAAGACTTCAGAGATTCTTGTTGTTGATCTCTTTCAATTTTCATCAGACAGAAAATAAGAAAAACTGCACAAGAACATATTATTGTCATCAAAACAAAATACCATTTGGTACACATTTCTCCATAACAGTCTTTTGATCCAGATGATGAGTAGGTGTCATAATTCAATGCGAAAATCGATTGAAATAAAACCATTCCCATTCCATGGCTAGCTACTATGAGTCCAATGTTTTGTCCAAAGTGTTCCATACCATAATATCTTAAAATGATGACATTTATTAGAGGAAATACGGAACCAAAAAACAGAGAAAGTATTACGGTGGAAAATATCAAACAAATCAAATTTTGATTATAAAATATGAGTGTAATTTGACTGATGATGAAGATAATACCAGGATATAACAGAAAAGATCCCCTCAGAACATCTGGCCATTTTTGAACAATGCAATCTGACACAGTTCCACCAAGAAGTTGTCCCAATGACATACAAATTGAAATAACGACTGGGAAAGATAAAGAATAGGGGTCAATCCTTGCCGATTTGACAACAATTGTGATATTATTTATTAATGTCCCACATGTACCAGCAAAAATTATGCAAATAATAAAAATGTAGTAAAATCCACTTGTTTTAATCATTTGCAAACAGTTCATCTCTGGTTGGGGTGATCTTACTATTTTATCTGCAATAAGTGCCGTTGTATCGCTCATTTTTGGTTTATTTTCTTTCTCCCTTGGACTATTGCTTTTCTCATCTGTTGTTGCACCATTTGCATCAATATCGCTTTTTCTTACTGGTGATAGTTCAGTTTCAGTTTCATCACTTTCATTTGTCTCTTCTGGAGTTACTTTAAGCATCACAATACCATATAGATTTATACCAGCTGATAGTACTGCTAGCATTATCATAAACTCTCCTAGCTTTTGATTTTCTGCATCTTCAATATGTCCTTGTACAAACAATCCCCTATAGATGGCACTAAATGTTGCAGGACTTATACCGAAAAATGCTCCAACAAGTCCTAGCACCTTACCCACATGTTTTCTGTCAAAGAGTTTGCAGCAGACCACCTTTGGTGCTATGACAAGAAACCTCAATCCAAATGACGCCAGAAAGTAAAAAGCACATAAAAGCCAGGACTTTGAACTAAAGAATAATCTAAACTCAGTTGCCATCAACATAAGCAAAAATCCCATGGTTGTTAGCATTAGTGAGACAGTACATGCTATCCTTGGACCAAACCTGTCTACGATAATACCTGCTGGAAAAGACATGGGTATTCCCAAATCTCCTGCCGATGCTATATTGTCCAGGTCACTCTGAGTGAAGTTAAATGTCCGCTTCAGGGATATCGCATATATATTAAATCCATACACGATTCCAGCTATAAGTGATCCTAGTATCCCTATGCTTAAACTAACATATTTTTGAAGTTGTTGGCTTTTAAAATTCATTGTCAGTGTGTTCTGTCCTTGGGAGTTTATTGTTTTGTTCTTGGCCTATGTGTTGTCTCAAAAATATTTGAATTTTAAAATGTTGAATTGCAAAACACAATAATATCAACTGTTCTGTAATCTAAATATATAAGGTGTCTCAGTACCTTCCTTATTACAAGTTTATTTTCTGCTTTATTTCTTGAAGATTACAGTAACAATGTGTTTCATGTATGACATAGGCCCCTATCTCTAAGCTTGTAATTTAAAGTCTGTTCTACCTTTTAGTGTATCATTAAAGAACCTGCATACTTTGCTGGTACAGCAGTAAATAAAGAATATTTTACACCGTTTTTATGTCCCCACCACATAACATGGGGCCATATTGTCGGCCTAGGCGCGTCCGACTGTCTGTCCGTCCGTCCGGGACTTTTCTCCAAATCGCTACAGATATCACCTTCAAATTTTCAGGGATAACTTATGAGTGCCTATAGATGTGGATGAAAAAAAATTTAACTCGAAACCTACTTCCTGTCGGCCATTTTGAAGTCAAATGCTAAAATCCTTGTCTGCAAACTTTAAGAAAAACTGCATCACAGTTGCTTTTAAAACTTTAACATCTTGTTCAGATCACTTCGTTCTAGATCTGATTAGGTTTTGGACCTGTTACTGGCTCAGTCATGTCAGCCATTTTGAATGTCGTAAGAAAAGTTAGCGCGCGATAATACTTTGTATCATATATTGAATGGTGTTTTTGAGTTTTCATACTTTAACTATTTAGTAGCTTTATAAATAATTTCAGATGTACTTTGTTGGAAAAGCCTACTTTATTGTTAACAGTATGTGATAATTTTGTAAAAAGAAATCAGCAAAAACTCATAAGGACTTTTTTATTGTCGGCCATTTTGGATTTTTCGGTCCTAAAATCTTGTGTGTGAAGTCTTGTCTGCGCGTTTTCAGGTGGACCGTTTGGTGGATCAATTTCAAATTTTCAGGGATGATTCTTAGTATAAAAATCTAGATCTCATTGTCTACTCATTTTCAGGATAACCATTTGGCGGGATCACCCATTGATGGGGACATTTTGTACACATTTGTGTTCTTGTATTTATCTGTTCAGGTAATTTTAATGTAAATTTTGCCATTGCACACAGAGGAAGTATCAAAGAATCCTGATGCCTTTAGAAAATTAATGTGCTGGCCTTCTTAAAAGAATTCAGGGTTCAAATCATGAAACACCGTTCTGGGCATTTAAATTCAAGAAAATAGCAAAGATTTTTTTATTTTTTTTTATTTGTGCCTTAGAAAATCCCAAATCAGTAGAACATTTCAAATTACTGTAGTACTAGTGAAATGCTTCCTTAGTATTTTTCATCCAAGATCACTTAGATTTACAAATTTTTGTAATAAGAGCAAAGTTTAAATGCTATAAGAATAGCTCAGACAAGTTGAAAACATTGTGTCAGGCTATCTCACTTTATCTCTTCTTATTTCTTTAATGGTCTTTATTGTCAATAAATGAATGCCAAAATAGACATGTAAAGCGTCATATTCAAATGAGGATACAGCATATGAAGGTTATGAGGGTACAATGTCATATTGGAGTGTCATTTATTGTATGTAGAAAGTAGCACGTCTTGGTTCTTTCTTATCACTAATCCAGTTGGAGCATCATACTGACGTATCAGATATTCAAGAGATTTTCTATCATTTTCTATTCTTTGATAATTCTTACAATCTGTTCACCATATGTCTATATTAAAGAGGCTCTATGCCATAGGATAACACAATCAAGACCCCTCTGGACTTTTTTGCATATTGAGTTTCACCACATATATACCCATCTACTTACCAAAGAAGAAGTCCCAAATCCCCCTCTTTCAGTGTTAACTTTGCGATTGTGCTTGCCGATCTAATTATTTTCAAAGAAATTAATTCAATCTGAAGTTTGAATATACAGGGAAAGTCCTCCTGTTATCTGATTGGTCGTTGAATTTGTTTATCATAAACCTGATTGGGCCTGGTTCAAGGCGCTTGTGTGACTCAATGGGGATTCCCCTCGCTAGCGGAGGAATCGATTGGAGTTTGGTTGTTCTGTTGATTATTTCCGATATTTCGGCAATAATATACCCAAAAGTTATTCTCAAGATATATCCATGGTATGTGAGATATTATATGAGCAATAACAATAGGACATCATTGATTGTCTGGGGGAGAAACCTATGGCATGATGCATCTTTAATGAAAATAGTAAGAGATCTTGCATAAAACAAGTGAACATTGTCCAAATTAAAGTGACGCCCGTCCCCACCTGAATCTGCCATAGACTTTTGTATTTTAAGTTGTTCATGTGGATTCATTGTGTGTTTCAGAGGCTGGTTATGTTACAACACCCATTTGTATGATTCAAGCAGCCTTGGTTCTTCTACAAGAGAAGGATAACTTGCCAAAAAGGTAAGAACAATGGGATCTTGCATGTAAACCCTGCTATGATTAAGAACTCAGCAAATCAGTATATATTTTATTGTATATTTGTGTTATACTACAGTATTGTATTGTTGATTTAATTAAGTGAAATGTCAAACTAGATCAGACTATATTCCACGCAATATACTTGACTGTAAAATCACTCAATTTATGCTCCATCCGATTGTTTGTTTCAGTGGGGGCATTCAGTTGTTGAGTTGTTGTAACCATGGATAATAATGATGTCATAGTAAGAGGACAAACTACAAAGGAATTTACAAAGTTGTTGATTTTCTTTCTCAGAGATATTTATTTTTCTTTTTGACGTTTATTTATTTGAATTTTATTTCTGAAGAAGTAGGATGGACATCCTACGAAACGTCAAAAAGAAAAATAAATATCTCTGAGAAAGAAAATCAACAACTTTGTACATAACTACCAGAGAGATGAACATTCATAGAATACAAAGGAATTGTTACCAAATTTCTGTTATTGACCTTTTGATTGTTTGTTTCAGTGGGGGTGTTCTTACACCAGGTGCTGTGTTTGCCAAGACAACTCTGATCAACAGACTCCAAGAGAACAATATGAAATTCACTGTGATGGTACAAGAGCCAAAGAAATAAACATCATATTGAAATGGACAATACATATACTACAGTAAAACCTGTGCAAGAAGAATACCCTTGGTTAAATGAGTTCCATCTAAGTGGTGTTCCTTTCGTAGATTCAAGAACATGGAATCCATGAGCACATGAGACTATGCAGATTTCCATCTAAAATGATGTTCAATGTTTAGAGGTGTTCCACTTGACAAGTTGTACTGTATATCTATAGTATCCAGGCTTTAAGTTTATATAGAAGTTGCATTCTGATATTATGAGCTGTTAAAACCACTCTTGTCATTATTGCCAATGAACTCAATTAGATTTTAATGATCATGACCTTCCGAATGTCTAAAACAAAGAAGAAGTTTAAAACATCAATCAATGCAACAAAAAATTCTATTTTGTCCTGGGAAAAGTTGTTTTATTGTCCTTTAAAGATTATTGGTCTAAATCATTTGTTGTCCGGATATATGGACTGATTGATCTTTTCAGTCATAGCATTTCATTGTAAAACACTGGTTCATTGTGCAGGCTTTGTAGTTTACTCCAGACTGTATGCAAACAGTATAGTTATGTTTGGAGTGATTTTCTTTTCTCTTTTATGACTGGAATCACATGAACAAATGGATTTATATACTTATCACATTGATACTGCCACATATACATAATCCCTCGTTTAATAATTGTGAGATTTTTGAGACATGGTTTTGAAGGAAAAAATATTAGTACATGTACTTAAATATTGAATACTGTGGCGAGGAGAGTCTAACTGGTACAATTTACATTGTGACGACTGAAGCTTTTGACAAGAAATTGGGAAAGATTTTTTATATTCATTTTTATGCATGTACTTCATAAATGGAAAAAGGTTGTTATGCATGGTATAAGAAAAAAACTAGTCTGAAGTAAAAAATAATAAACATATTTTGTTTTACAATTTATTATCATTCATGTTTTTCATATACATGTACGTATTCATATTTCATTATTAAAGTTTTCGATAAATATCTAGGATACACTATTACATATATTATTAGAGATCCACACTACTGTGGTATCTTTTTATAAATTTTCAGATAAAATCTGAACTTTATACGAGATAGGTATAAAATGGATTCATACTTCACGTGAAAGATTCATATTTCCCGGGAATATGTTACTATACCTATTGTATTTTTATTCCTTAATGAGTTCAGTTCAGAGTGATCATGACAAATATATCACAAATGAACATAACATTATGACAGCCTAAGCAGTTATCTTAATGCCATTTGAGCCATATATGTATAGTATTGTTCTTTTATCTCCCAAACATTTACATAATGATCTAATTTGGTTGGTATTTGGTGTACAGCTGGAAAATATTTGAAATATGATTTTGTTTCTATTATATGACTTCGAATTCAATGAAATTCAATTGAAGTTCAATTCAATGGAATATGTATAACGGGGTATCACCAAAAGTGTAAGTTGTAACCTCTTAGAAGGGAAACTGCATTTATTTGGGATAAAGTAGAAAACAATTGTTCTTGTTATTTTCCATAGGGAAAAATCATGCAATCTATTGTTTTCAGCTTAATTTTGGTCACCATTTTTGATATGTTTAAAACCCCTAAATGTGGATGAATTCTTCCTTCTAACAGACGCCTCAAAACCCAACATACTGATGCATTAAACATTGAAAAACAGGTTTGGAAAGGGGTGAAAATCATGACAACATTATAGAAAAGGCATTTTTGTGACGTGCTTGCATCTTTCCTGTCAGGGTTCAAATTAATCAATAAGTACTTTTCCTTGAGATTTGCCATAACGTCCGTGGTTTTTCAGCTAAAAATAGATTGAAAATAGGTTGAGAGGGACCGAATTGCTCATTTTCTTGTAAAACGTTTCACCTGAAAATTGCCTCGCCAAAATTTTTAACTTGGTGCGGAAAATCACTTTTATTATCCCACCAAATGAAGTTCAAGTGGGATATACGAAAGCCGTTCGTCCATCCATCAGTACGTTCGTCGGTTCCTGTGTCTGGGCGATAACTCAAATACCGGTTGACGGATTTGGTTCAAAATTGTATAGACTTAGTTATGCTTTATGGTGATGGCACCTCTGTTCGAGATGGAATTTTCAATATGGCCGTTCAATTCAATTCAAAGTGCTGCCATTTTTCGTGAAAAATTTAATCTTTGATTACTCAAATACTAGTTGTTTTTTATGATTTGTGCCTTTGAAAATCCCAAATCAGCAGAACATTTCAAATTGCATAGTGAAATGCCGCCTTAGAATTTTTCATCATCCGAAATCACTTACATTTACAAACATCGTGCTGAAGAGGGGATCTTCAAGATGGCTGCTGGATTTCAAAATGGCGGGCATTTTTCGTGCAAAAATGTAATGGATTTGGTTCAAATACCTAGGAACACAGGAGCTTTGATCAAGAAGGAATTTTAAAGATGGCGGTTGAATTTCAAAATGGCCACAATTCTTGGTAACAGAATGTAATTTTTGAAAACTAAAATACCAGTTGATGGATTTGGTTCAAATTTTATATGCTGATGCCTAAAGACATGGGAGCTCCACTCAAAAACATATCTAATGGCACCTGGATTTCAAAATGGCTTCCATTTTTGTAAAAAAACACAATCTTTGACACTCAAACTCAAATACCAGTTAACTTGTTGATAGATTGGTTCAAATTTTATATGCTGATTCCTAGGGCCGGGACAAAGGAACCTTGCTCAAGAAGAGATTTTCAAGATGGCAGCTGAATTTTAAAATCTTTGATAACTCATATCTCATTGAACAGATGTGGTTCACATTTTTATAACCCCCCCTATCACACCAAACTAGTTCTTACCCGTTTTTGCCAGTCCTACGAAAACGTCGTAAAACGGGCTCAATCTGGCTGTGGTCGGGAAATATGTCTGAAATAATTAGCTTCTTCGTTCTTAAACAGTCTCCAATACGTCCATCTCGTTTGCAGTTCGTTCAGGTCGCACCGCGTCGGTGTGCAACGTCGTAGAACGCGTCCCTTAGTCTAGAAGGTCAAGATGACCTGATAACAGAACGGTATGGTCGCCATCGAATTTTGAATCGATTCAACATTCTAAAATCACATTCCCTTCTGAGAACGTTCATAAAGTTCGTAAATAGACCTTAGAAAGTTGCAGCTACACAACGTACGTTCATTCCGTTCGCACACAGTTTAAAACCATTTTTGAAGAACGCAGTGGCAACTTGTTTGGTGTGATAGCTATATTTTTGCTAACTCGTTAACAAGCAGTGTTAAATACGTTCTTAATCAGTTTAAACCCGTTTGCAATTAGTTCTACCTCGTTCTCAACACGTCCTCAGACAGTTCAACTCGTTGTTAAAACGTCCCTAGTAAGGATTGAAGTACGACGGTTCCGTTCGTAGTACGTCCAGCTCGTCGTTAGTACGTTGTCACTCGTTCTAATTGTAGAACGTGACGACCACGAGAACATTTTGAGCATTGTCTAAGTTCTAGAGGACCTACCCGTTCGAGTACGTTCGATGAAGTTTGTAAATAGATCCCAAACGGTTCTTAGTAGGTCCAGTCCGTCCGTACACAGTTGAAGCCCGTTTTCTTAGAACGTAGTGAGAACTAGTTTGGTGTGATAGTAGGGTTAGATTAAATAAAGCCCTTATATTTTTAGAATGATATACAGAATATGTCTATTTAGTAATTAACCATAAAATGTTGTAAAAACGAGAGGATAAGCATTGCATAAGTTTTAAATCGTATGCCCAAAAAAGAATTTGACAACATTCTTTATAGACTGTAAGCCATTCTGTAGAAGTGCTCTAGAAATGCAACCTTCCTTACATGAAAGGTTACACATTCCAACCTATTTCAAACCATCTGTATGATTATACTGGACACTTTCTGGGTAGTTGGACTTTCTATAGGGGTGGCAGACGGCCCTCAGACCAATTAATACCCCTACCCCCAAAAAACCATGGGGTACTTTAATACCACCCAATAAAAAGAATACTAATGCATGTCAGATATTCATTGTTTTATATTGGGTAGGGCATGTTATGGTTAATAAGTGCCAGAAATTTCCAATCTCTAACTTATATGGTTACCATAGAAACAGTATTTATACCTCAAATATTCTCAATTTGACCCCTCCCAAATGTGTCCCTTTGTTCTCTAAGTGAAATATTTCAAAATCTGTTTGGATTTTATGGCTGCTACTTTGTCAAAATTTGTAATATTATGTCTATATTAACACTAAAACACTTAAAAGTTGATATAATGATCCTATAAATCAATAATATTTATCAAATATAGTCACACATAGCTGCTTTCAGGGAAAAGTGGGCGTGGCACTTTTTGGTACTTGTGCGCTTGTTGCAGCATTAAATGAAAAATGCAGATTACACTAACAATAATTGACATTTAATTAGCATCTACTAATGTTGTGTAACATTGTAATACCCCGGTATGTTCATTATCATTATTAGACACTTTAAATATTTTATATAAGTGTTATCCTGACCCTTCCCTATCATAGGTCATCAATGGTCAAATGAACTTTTAGTTTAAGTCTTATAGGGTCCTCGGTCTTTTAAGCCTGTCAAGAGTCAAGTCTTACTTATTCATTGACTTGTTCCTAGAATATGAATGGATAAGTTCAAGTCATCTAGAGCTATTCAAGTCATCTATGCTTGTTCAACAATGTTCAATATTTAGAACCATTTTACCATGTTTACTGCAATTGAAAAGTAATGAACAGTTCAATCCTTTTGGTATGATATTTGATGCTAGTGTGAATTGCATAACATTTATGATTAAACTTAAATGAACTAATTTAACTCTGGCTATTAACCCTTCCCTAGTATCCTTCACATAACCTCTAAATCATCTTCATATCCTTGGCCTAAATGGGGAAGGAGGGAGGGGTTACAAATAGTGACCGAGGATAATTTGAATCAAAGCAAGAAGACGTAATACTCAAAACTAGAAAGATTGGAGACCATTTATACCCTTCCTAATATTTTGCCTAATACATAACACTAAAATATATTTTGTCAGACACTTGCTGATTCTTTTATCAATACCTCAACATCAGGCAATGCATGATCTATCCAATGGATTAAAGATTATAATTGATTCTAATATGGCAAAATTAATTTTTCATATGAATTGCATAGAGCATCATTTTGCAGTTATAATAAAATGCATTCATTCATTCATTGGCTCATAGTTAACAAAAAAGCTATTCTCTGGAAGGTACAGTATAATTTCTATTAGTATTTAGCAAAATAATTGCAAGATAAACAATTTACACATGTTTCTGATATGGTGAAATTTCAATGATTCCTTCAATAGTGGTTCGGTATATGTTTTTGAAATACTTCATATAATTCTTAAACAAATCGGTTTAGTGAATGAAATCAAAGTAGAAACATTTGTCCCATACTTGGATATGTTTCAGATATACATATAGCAGGTTTATAAATACTTATATTTTCATCAGCGGGCAGATATAGCTAATGTCCCTGCCTGAGAGGGCAGATATATTACACCTGCCCACTAAGTCATAATGAGGGAAGTAGCATACTT